GCTGAATAATTATCTTTACACGAAACTATAGGAAAGTCTATAATCAGTCATTTTTAATATAAGGAAAACTTAACCCTCCTATTTTGATAATTATATGTGCATCCATAGCTCAGCCTTTTATAACTAAGTTCAGGGAACAGTGGTTTGGACTTTGATTAACGAAGTTAATTTTTTTCAAAAGAGTCTTGTCCCACACATCAGTATCAGTTATTTCAGCTAGTTTTAGATTTCGTGCTGGTACAGCTATCAATAAGCTTTATTGATAATTTATTCTTGGTAATTGATTAATTTTTGCATTTCTGGTGGAAACCTCTTTGGCATCTGATGGAACTTCAGACCCTCTTCCTCAATAATTTTACCATTTCTTCAAAAGTCTCTAGCAAGGGTGTTCTGCTCGGTTACACTTGATTCTGAGTTTTGCATTTCCATCTCTGATCTTCCTCAATTCATTATGATCAAATGCTTGTTGTTAGTTTTTTTGTTTTTTTTTTTTGTTTTAGATAGGGTTACTCTGTTGCCCAGGCTTTAGTGCAGTGGTACATCTTGGCATACTGCAGCCTCGACCTCCTGGGCTCAAGTGATCCTCCAAACTCAGCCTTCCAAGTAGCTGGGACCACAAGCGCTTGCCACCACACGTGGCTAATTTCTAAATTTTTTGTAGTTATGGAATTTTGTCATGTTGCCTAGGTTGCTTTCAAACTCCTGATCTTAAGCAATCCTTCTGCCTCAGCATCCCAGAATGCTGAGATTACAGGTGTGAATCACCAAGCCTGGCCCAGTATTAATACTTTTTTTTTTTTTTTAAAAGACAAAGTCTTTCTCTGTTGTCCAGGCTGGAGTACAGTGGCATATCTCTGCTCACTGCAAGCTCCACCTCCCATGTTCAAGCAAGTCTTGTGCCTCAGTTACCCAAGTAGCTTGGATTACAAGTGAGTGCCACCACACCCAGCTAATTTATATTTTGAGTAGAGACGAGTTTCGCTGCATTGGTCATGCTGTTCTTGAACTCCTGGCCTCATGTAATCCTCACAGTTTAGCCTCCCAGAATGCTGGGATTACAGGTGTGAACCACTATCCCGGCCTGCTTTTTAAATTCATACTGCATTTAAATGTTTATCATTTAAGGCCAGGCACGGTGGCTCATGCCTGTAATCTCAGCACTTAGGGAGGCTGAGGCAAGCGAATCACTTGAGGTCAGGCATTCAAGACCAGCATAGCCTACATGGTGAAACCTCATCTCTACTTAAAAAATATAAAATTAGCCAGGCGTGGTGGTGGGTGCCTATAGTCACAGCTACTCAGGAGGCTGAGGCATGAGAATTGTTTAAACCCTTGAGGCAGAGGTTGCAGTGAGCTAAGATCATGCCACTGCACTCCAGCCTCAGCAACAGAGCAAAACTCCATCTGAAAAAAAATTATTAGAAAATACATATAAATTGCATAGTGGCCAGGCGTGGTGGCTCATGCCTATAATCCCAGCATTTTGGGAGGCAAAAGCAGGCAGATTGCTTGAGCCCAGGAGTTTGAGACCGGCCTGGCATGCCCCACTGTCCAGTTTTTCACATCAAAACATTATTTTTTCTTTGGAAGTTGACCTAAAAAGCACCTTTTTTTTTTTTTTTTTGACTGTGGGTAGCATGTTGGAATATAACTTCACTAAGTTATCAGCAGTAAAACTTGTTACAGGTAGGAAGCTAATATCTGTAGCATTTGATTTAGGTGGCAAAAAGGAAGAGGGGAACTGATGTTGGCTATTTTGAATACAGAATACCATTGCACCTTTTCTCCTCATGTTGATCTCATTTGCAAGCAAATTCAAGGAAGCTCACTAGCTGAGTGGCCTTGGATAAGCTATTTAATGAGCTCCTTCCATGATGTTACCTTTAAAAGTCCCTTCTCTTTCTAAAATCTTAGGTCTTAGGAATCTGTGTGTTGGTAAAATACTCTCTTGTGCTGTAGACCAGTCTGACCCCTTAGTTATGTGTGGAATGTGCTGAGCTGTGTTTAAAGCCATGTTTAGATGTTGATGTTATTGCAGTGTTACTCTCTTTTTGTTATCTAAAGATTTCAAGAAGTATAGGTTTTTTAAATGGTTATGTTTTAAGCAGCTTTCAGCTCTTAAAGTAAAAAAGTGAAAGTAACTATTAGTATAGTTATTATTAGCAGCAGTGCTGAAATATTTTGTGAAGAATTCAGTATTTCCCTGAAGGTGTTTACATGTAAATATGTTTTAAGTATATTTATTTTAGAAAACAGTTCTACAAAAAGGAAGTGTGTTTAGAAAAGCAAGAAGGTAGAACATGTATTGATACCACTTTCCAAAGCATGTCTGAAACATTTTAAGATCTTTATATTTACTTAACAAATAAAAATCCATGGAATTGCAAACATCCTCTTGGTTTGAAAATATATTTTGGCAGATCTGTCATCTAAATGGAAATACATAGAAGCAGAAGTTACTGTAATTTTAGGCTGGGTGCGGTGGCTTACATATATTATCCCAGCCCTTTGGGAGGCTGAGATGTGAGGATTGCTTGAGCCCAGCAGTTTGAGACCAGCCTGGGCAGCATAATGAGGCCTTGTCTCTACAAAAAATAAAAAATTAGCCAAGTGTGGTGGCACACACCTGTAGTCCCAGCTACTTGGGAGGCTGAGGCAGGAGGATCACCTGAGCCCAGAAAGTCAAGGCTGCAGTAAACTGTGATCGTGCCACTGCACTCTAGTCTGGGCAACAGAGAGAGACCTTATCTAAAAAAAATTTTTTTTAATTCACAAGGCCTTCTTAATGGGCTAGATTTGGGATCCAGGGTGAAGTTAAACTTATACATCAGTACTGAAATAATGTTAACAAGACTGTGTATTTATATTCCTACTTAAGAAGATTGGATGGAGGAATTAAGTGATACTGTTCTTTGAGCTTATAAAACTTGACAGTATTTATCCAATTCATTGGCCAAAGACTGCCACTTCCCTTGGTTTAGAATTTGGGTGAGATAAGAAATGTTCATCTCTGCTTATATAAACATTTCAGGTTCTGGATTTTAATTAAGGGCAAAAATGTAAACTTTTCTTTCTTCTGATATTCCTCATACATATGCTTAAATCTTAACACGTCGTTTTCCTATATGTTAGGGGACTTGCATTCTGGATTGTAGAATCACGGTCCTGAATTCATGCTTTGTTTTACTGCCCAGATTAGTGACACTGAGGATATGTGCATTAACTTCACATTACGTCTTCATTTGTACAGCTATACAAATTACTGTCATTTCTGTCTTTCCAGGTTTAGAGTCATGGCTTTGGAGAAAGCAAAAGGGAGGAATTTAATTTCACTTAATGTTCAGGCCTCTGTGATCGTTTACTGTGGTTGTAACTGATTTATAGCTGGCAAAGCTTATTATATGAGATCTCCTTCCAGAATCTGTAAAGAAGTGATTTATATTTAGCCACTTGGGACAAAAATGTTAGCATCTCTTTGAACACAGTCAGATTGATACATCTTTAGTCTTTGATCTTTACATTTCAAGAATGGCTCTTTTCCTTCATTCTACCACTCTACTTTTTAAACTTTATATCCATTCTTTTTGCAAACATTGTCTACGTTTGTTGACTCTGCTGCTTTCTTTCACTCACTTCTTTACCTCCTGTAATCTGATTTCTACCCACACTACTTTACTGAAACTGCTGTAGCCAGGGCCACACTGTGTTTGCTGCACAGTCTAAGGAATAGTCTTCAGTCTTTGCTGCCTCAGGAAACTGCTACCCACTTTCTCCTTGAAACAGTCTCCAGTGACACCACATTTAACTGATTTTCCTCTTCTACTTCTGATAAAAGCTAAACCTCCTTTGTAGATATTTCTTTTTCTACCCATGATTTAAATGCTGTTCTTACTCAGAGGACTCTGTTGAGCCCACTTTGCTTCTCATGATACTGTTTTCCCTAGAGACCATTCATTGCTTTAGTCATAATCTGATGATTGCAAAAGTTCTCCTTGGTATCAGATCTATATATCAAACTGTCTATTGGACATCTTCACTTGACTATTATAATAGTCTGCAAGTTATATAAACCCACTTCATCATAACTTTAGGCTAAAGAGGGAGATGTTGCCTCACAAAACTAAACTTCTGGTGCACAGGTGAAACTGATCTTAGGGATGCCTAGAATCAGAGATTCATGTCATCTTGACTTCCCACTTCTCTTTTGCCTCTGCTTGTCAGCATTATTATCTCAAAACTATCTACCACATGAGGTATAGGATATTACTGACTAAGGACATCTTCAAAAGTCAACAGCTTGGCAGTCAGAAAGAAAAAATAGGTTTAACTCTTTGTCCAACTGCAGATAGAAAATTGCCTGACAAAGATTCTGATAGATTCAGTTTGGTTTGCCACGGTGGGATGTATAGTATTTTGACCAACACACGTTCCGGTGATGGCAGTGGGAGCGGTAGCGATGTAATAGCTTAATTCACAGACGAAAGCCTAACTTAACCCCTACCCATTTTTCATGTACAGTTCTAATTCCAGTGGATAAGGTGATAATTTTGTTTATGGTTTTTGATGAACTGTACCTGCTTATCTCCTTAGAGTTCATTGCTATGTCAATTACTGTCTGAGTTGTCTGTGAGAATAAAGGACTCAACTGAAGAAACCTATATGAAAATGGTCATCAGTATTTCTTCTTGGAATTAGAATATGTGGCAGTCACGTTGTAATTAGTGATTTTAAAAAATTAACTCATTAAAATAATCCATACTTTTATAGCCGTAAAATAGGATGTCCCATGAAGGCAAAGATTTCTGTCTGCTTTCACTACTACACCTAGAACTTGACACTCAAAAAGTTGCTCAAAAATAACGTTGAATGAGTATCAGTTTGTTAAAATCTTGATTTTTTTTTCAGTGTTTACTTTTTTGGGTAATATTAATTTTAAGAAATATATTTTTCAAGAATAAGTAAAGTTAACTTTTTTTTCTTTTTCTTTTTTTTTCCCCTAGACTATCTGTTATAGTCCCTGGGTCAAGACAACAATTTTTATACCTTCTTGGTGGTTCAGAAAGGAGTCTCTGTAGAACCAGAAGCAAAGAAAGGAAACAATCTGAATTTTTCATTATTAAATTGACTGTGTAAGATACTTGACTTCCAGGAACGAAACACAGTGAAATAATAAAATTTCATCTTGTCATCACTGGATATTCATCGTATTGAGGAGCGTATTTTGTGGAACTTCCTGAATTGAGATTTGGAACCTTCATTGGTGCTCTTTTACACTGTGGACTGTAAGCATGAGTGAATTCTGGTTGTGTTTCAACTGCTGTATTGCAGAACAGCCTCAGCCTGTAAGTATGAAGTATGTGGACACATCAAGTATGTGGGGTGCTTATTAAACATACTATTGGTTCTCAAACTGAGAATTGGGATCCTAGCAGTAATTGCAAAGCAGTGCAAGAGAATACAGCAGAGAATAGTTCAGTGGAACTCAACATAGGTTAAAAAAAATAATGTTTTTAAAGTAAATACTGTATGTCAAGAACTTTGCTAGATTATTCATTTTACATTCCTGAGAGGATGTATTCTTCTGTCAACTAGCTTCTGGAGGAACAGTGAGAGAGAAAGGAGACAATAACCTGAGGTAAAACAGATGCATCGGCCTTGGAAGTCAGTTGGTGGAAGATGTGGCAGCTAGATGCCATCATATTCTTCTCAGCTTACCATCTCATTTTCCTCAGATTAACCCTCTGAGGAGCATATCATTGTCCTTATTTTTCAGTTGAAGCAGTTTCAGTTTTTTGCCCAAAGTCATAGATTATAAGTGGTACTGAGTGACTTCTTGGTGTATGCCCTGTTTTTGTGTCCTCTAATGTGTGCACATATTGTTACCTCTGCCAAAATTCTGTCCTCCAGCCTCCAAATTCCCTTCCTTCCCTCCCTCCTTCAGTCCCTCCCTCCCTCCCTCCCTTCCTCTCTTTCTCTCTCTCTCTCTCTCTCTCTCTCTGTCCCCCTCCCTCCCTGCTTCCTTCTTCCCTCCCCTCCTTTCCTTTCCTTTCTTCTTTTCTTTCCTTTCCCTGTCCTGTCCTGTCCCGTCCCGTCCCGTCCCGTCCCGTCCCGTCCCGTCCCGTCCCCGTCCCGTCCCGTCCCGTCCCCGTCCCGTCCCGTCCCGTCCCGTCCCGTCCCGTCCCCGTCCCCGTCCCCGTCCCCGTCCCCGTCCCAGTCCCGTCCAGTCCATCTTCAGAGTTTCACTCTTGTTGCCAAGCTAGAGTGCAATGGCATGATCTAGGCTCACTGCAACTTCCGCCTCCTGGGTTCAAGTTGCAGTAAGCCTAGATCACACCATTACACTCCAGGCTCAGCCTCCCAGGTCACTGGGATTACAGACATGCACCACCATGCTCCGCTAATCCTGAGGTCAGGAATTCAAGACCAGCCTGACCAATGTGGCGAAACCCTGTCTCTACAGAAAATTCAAAATTTAATTGGGTGTGGTAGCAGGCACCTGTAATCCCAACTACTAAGGAGGCTGAGGTAAGATAATCACTTGAACCCAGGAGACAGAGGTTGCAGTGAGGCAAGATCACATCATTGCATTGCAGCCTTGGCAACAAGAGGAAAACTCTGTCTGGAAAAATAAAAATAAAATAAAAAAGAATTTTCAGTAATTCAATTAGAAGCATTGTATATGTCTTCATTTATGTAGATCTTTTAATATTCGTTTTGTAAAGTTCTAAAACTTCCTTACATAAACTTACACATTTCTTGTTAGACTTGTTCTAGTTATGGCTTTTACTGTATTTCCTAGCTGGTTATTACTAGTGCGTAGGAATCTAATAATTCTTACATGCTAATTTTTTATCCAGACATCTCACTGAATGCTTGTGAACACTTGAATTAGTTCGTTTATTTATTTTTGAGATGGGAGTCCCACTCTGTCGCCCGGGCTAGAGTGCAGTGGCACGATCTCAGCTCACAGCAACCTCCACTTCCTAGATTCAAGTGACTCTCTTGCCTTAGCCTCCAGAGTAGCTAGGATTACAGGCGTGCACCACCACGCCCAGCTAATTTTTTTGTGTTTTTAGTAGAGATGGGGTTTTGCCATGTTGGCCAGGCTGGTTTCGAACTCCTGACCTCAGGTGATCTGCCCACCTCAGCCTCTAGAGTGCTGGGATTGAGCCGTGAGCCACTACTCCTGGCCGAATTAGTTTAATAGTTAGCTGAAATGCATATATCTTACAGATGTCTCCAAATAGTGACTTCTTAAATCATTTTCTATTTAAATTATTTATCCTTTTGGAATCTTAGCTGAATTTTCTAAGACCTCCAGTATAATGGTCAGTATTGCCAGTGTTAGGTGAACATCCTTACTTATCCTGATTTTTTATAATCTGTGATACTATTAGAGATGACATTTTCAATAGTCAAGAATTCTCAGTAGGAACACTTGAGTCATATTGCCATATTGTTTTAAGTATGCCCTGTAATCTTATTTTTGAACATGTTATACTGGGTAAAAGGAACCAAGGTAAATAGGCCCTTAGTGTGGTGTTTTATCTGGTTATAGGGCTTAGGCCATTTTTACTATTTGCTATAGCTATAGGTGTTGGAGGATAAGATTTCATCTGGTGTCCTTGTTTTTGTCCTTTGTCTGTGTGTTTCTCTAGAGACTTCTTAAATAAGATCTGAGACATGCTGTTGTTTCATTTGCAATCCTTATGGTACAGGAGCCCTGTAGATGTGCTGGTAAGATGTGGAGGGGAAGGGAGACATTATGTGTTGCTATGATTATGTCTCAGTCTTTCAGCGAGCTGGTGCATATGGTCTGTGACCTACACAAAATGCTTCTCAGTTTTGTTTTTTACCCCTTAGATGAGGCAAAAAAGGGTAGAGGAGACTGGAGCTGGATGTTTCCCTTCTCCCCAAGTTGGTTTTTGGAAAAACCTAGTTGATTAGGCTCTGATAAAATAGTTTCTCTCCAAAGCAAACCTTGTTAAGAAGAGAATGCTCTGGTGTATTTTAGTATGGCTGCCCTTCCCTTCTTTTTGCTGAAACACAAATTTTTCTCTGATCTTCACATGGGAACCTGGTAGGGTTCCCTGAGGAAAAACCCACAAAGTGTAGGGGTTCCCTAAGAGTAGTTTCCCCTGGAGTCTTAAACTCGTTCACGCTGAGCATCCTGCTATTCATCAATTAGTTTAGGTTTTCCTACACTGGTACTGGATCCTGTGAATGTTTCTGCTTGTTGATTTCTCTGTGTCCACTTGCCTGTCTCTGTAGTTGTAGGGGAAGCAGTTTTCTCTGTGACCTCACTTCTATGATGGATCTAAGAAGAGATGTGGTCGGTTTGATCAGCTTTGTTTTTCTTATGTGGATGGGAATGATGACTTCCAAGCTCCTTATATGCCAGATCAGAAACCAGAAGTCAAGTTGCCATATTTTAAAACCTTTACTTACTGCCAGTATTCACAAGGTATATAATAAAGTGAATTCTCTTCAATATATAATATATGTATACTTACCAAATAGCTAAAATAGGAAGACACAGATTAGGTATTTAAATAGCAGGAGCATAAGGCACTGGAGTTACGAGACATCAGAAATATGTTTTCTGCTACACAGAGGATTTGCAACTTGAGTTTCTCTCATAGTGAAATGGGAAAAGTTCCCCTGTCTCCCTTGGAGGTGAGCGATGGGGCCGTGGCTTGCTTCTTCGGTGCCCTGCGGCTCACACCTCTAGGGGAGCATACAGATGGGCAGGCTGTGGGGCTCCAACCCCATGGCAGTGTTTAGGGGTGAGTCTTCACAGCTGAATCCCCAGTGGCCTTACAGGTGCTCTTTTAGTTTGCCATCTGTAGTTGGCTTGTAACTAGCTCAATTAGACCTTCTGCTTTATCACAAGGACAGGGCTTTTTCTGTATCCTGGGTTCTTGCTTTGTCATACCAGAAGAATCAGATCATATATGGGCCTGGAGAATTGAGTGCAAAGTTTTACTGAGTGGAAGTAGCTCTCTGCCAATGGGGGAGCCAGAAAGGAGATGATTTTCCCCTGGAGTTGGATCTCTTGGCAGCCCCAGCTCTCCTCCAACTGCCATAGCCAAAGACTGCCCCAGCCAAACTTTGCCTCATCTCACTGGTTAAGGGCATGCTGGCATGCTGGCATCTGTCGGTGTGCTCTTCTGCAGGCGTGCTCCCCCAGTGTCCTCTAGCCATCGGCCACTTGTGCCTTCTTCTGCTGATGTGCTCCTCTCAATGTCTGGCTGCCTGTATGTCTGCCCGCTAAGATCCTGGGTTTTTATAGGCCTAGGATGGGGGCATGGCGGGCCAGGGTGGTCTTGGAAAATGCAACCTGTGGGTGCAAAAGCAGGAGTGCCTGTCCTCACCTACATCCATGGGGGTGGAGTCCTAGCCAAGGCTGCCTTTCTATACCCAGCACTTTCCTGTCCCCACTCCCATATCATTTAAAGGGACCATACTCTTCCCTTCCCAGCACTTCTGTATCAATACAATATTTAATACGGTGTTTGTTGTCATTTAATGAATACATATTTATGTGAAATATTCCACAGAAATTTCATGGACATCTGATTTCTTACCTTTTTGATTCCTGAGAAAAGTTACACAAAACTTAATGGGGGTTTGTGGTCACCATAATGGAGGAATAGCTTGCTTGTTGGCATCAGGAAATAGATGTAAAGAATCACTAATAATTTGTGTTTCTTTATGTTACACAAAAACATACCCTTGGCATTCTAAGCAGTTTTAAGGCTGCCTTATCTGAGAGCTGCTTGGTCATCTGCTAAAGTTTTCTTTTCTAAAATATTTACTGAAATAAATTGCTGCATGCCAACTCTCCCACTCATTCCCTATCACCCCCTGTTCTTGCACATTCCATGTATGAGGAAAGGAAAAACCCAATATTAGGAAGAAAATAGAATGCATTTTTCTGAGTATAGTAGAATAATCATTTTTCTCTTCCTACTCCTTCATTTTAATGTAGTACAATACAGAGTATACTAGAGCCCCAATGTTTTGAGCTGTGATAATCCAAAACATGTTAACTGACTATAAATGCTGTAGTTGCTGTGGGTAGATATAGCTAAGGTTTTAATTGGATGGTTGCTGCCTTGTAATTTAATTTTTTTAAAAGACTTGTTAGCTCTTGACAGAACTATAGTGAATTCTTCAACTTATGGAGCGTCAGAGTACTGGCAAACTTCTAAGGTAGCTTTCAAAACAAGGAACCCTGATTTACAGAAGAAAAGACACTTTTCTGTTAATTTTATTTGCCTTCTCATCTACTATTTTCTCACATAGCACTGATTTTTTTGTAATGCTGTTTGTCTCTGGA